ATGTCATTAGAGCATTTTTAGTTTGATTTTCATATAAAAAAAGAGTATAATAAATGTGTCAGAATTGTGTATTATTAAAATCATCAGTGAACAAATTATAAGTCAAAAAAAATAAAACACAATCTATAGAGAAAATCTATGATTTCATACAAAGGAGAAATATTTGATATTTTCAATAATAAATATAATAAATATTGAACTTCACTTTTGAATTGACATAAACTTATTATCAAAATTATAAGCTGATGACAACCATTGATGTAAAGTGGATGATTAAGTAATTTAATAGCATATGAATAATGTGGATGATTATGTAATTCTAATAAATCGGTTGTTAAATTATAGATTTTATTATGCATTTCATGGTACTCAAGTATTTATAAAAGTTGAAATCCATTGTTATTATTTATGAAAAATGATCGTAAAATTTTTATAGGATCTGATTTATTATCATCATTATCTGTTCTTCTGTTGAAGGGACTTTGAAATAATGAATAAGGCTCTCTACAATATCGATAATAGAGTTGACGAAATGGCATATAATGCTGATTAATAATCACGTTTTGCCATTGCGTACAAACTGGAGCACAACAATTTAACATATCCTCATAAGGAAGTTGAGCAAAAATGTCTTGGAGGAATATTTCTGATATTGCTACCATTGTTTATTTATAAGAAGATATTGCTATAGTGTTTTTTTATAGCTTAATAAAAAATTTTTTACAATTAATTGATAATATATATACTTAATGCGAATATGTAAAACTGGTCAATTAGCAAGAACGCATTTAAAATTAAGTCCTTTCTAAAATTTTCTCTTGTATGTTTAAAGATATATTTTTTTTCATTAATGTTAATGTAAAAATTTTTAACTTTGCACCAAAAGAATCTTAGAAAAATTACCTACCCTTTTTATAACAAGAGAAATTTATTTTAGCCTAATCCAGCTAAATATAGTTTAATTAAATTTACAATAATTTAATACTAAACAAACACAATGAAATATATTTTTTTCGTTAGGTTCAGAATGATTTTTGCAAAATTATTGCATACACAAATTTTCACTTGTTGTATATGGCAAGATGAGCATTGCTATTTAAGCCAAAATCGCAAGTTCTGCTTATTCGGCATGATATATATAGTTTGCTGATGATGTGGAGCAAAATATTCATCATATATATGATGATATAAGTCGTTCTGTTGGTTTATTTTTATTTCGATAAAGATGAATGACCACTCGCACTCATTCATAATAATAATCCAACAATGAGGCTGATGTGATAGGCTTTAATATTTTCTTGTTATTTTCATATTGATAAATGGGACGGAAAGTTCTTTCTAAAGTATACTTATTCATTGTTGTCAATGTTGTAATCTGATAAAATTATAAAATTTGGGAAATTTTATCTTCTCTGCTATATGTATAATTATATTCTCTTCCTCCAACACAAATAATTTTGAGAAATTCAGTATCAAATTCCATATATCTAACAATACCGTTAACTTTAGATATATTGTATATTAAACGAAAATATTGTATTTATGATTTTAATGTAATTTTATCTGGCCAATAATTATTAAACAACCAATCAAATGATTCAAAAATAATTAGAGTGACATTAGTTAGTTTATTTATGTTTTTTATTATTTCTTTCGCAGTATTATTAACTCTAGTTTCCATTAACCTTTCAGTTTCTTGGTCCATATCATTATCAATTCTATTTTTTAAAACAATTCTGAAATCATTTTTTTCTAGACTTTCTTTTGACAAATAAAAATAATTGGTAATAGTTACATTTTTGAAAATATGTTGTGATAATGACGAGTTTAAATAACCTAAACCTTCTTTTATATTACTAATTAAAAATGTCTTGTTATTGTATTTAGCAAAGAGTAGAATTAACTACTCGAAAATACTCGAGCCTCGAAAGTACTCCACTTTAATAATCTTACTTTTGTTTCGATAAAGATGATTGACCACTTGCGCTCGTTTGCACGTCATTAAATGATAAGAATCATCTTTAATTCAATTTTCTTATAAAAAAAGAGCATGGTAAGTATCTAGGAATAGTTTCTCATCTATTTCTTTATTGAACAAATTGCAAGTAAAAAAAAATCAAACATAATCCATAGAGAAAATCTATAATTTCAAACAATGGAGAAAAATTTGATATTTTCAATAACAAATGTAATAAATATTGAACTTCACTTTTGTATTGACATAAACTTATTATCAAAATTATAAGCTGATGACAACCGTTAATGTAAAGTGGGTTATTAAGTAATTTAATAGCATATGAATAATGTGAATGATTATGTAATTCTAATAAATTGGTTGTTAAATTGTAGATTTTATTATGCATTTCATGGTACTCAAGTATTTTTAAAAGTTGAAATCCATTGTTATTATTTATGAAAAATAATCATAAAATTTTTATAGAATCTGTAGATTTATTATCATCATTATCTGTTCTTCTGTCGAAGGGACTTTGAAATAATTAATAAGGTTCTCTACAATATTGATAATAAAGTTGACGAAATGGTATATAATGCTGATAAATAATCACATTTTGCCATTGCTTACAAACTGGAGCACAACAGTTTAACAAATCCTCATAAGGGAGTTGAGCAAAAATGTCTTGGAGGAATTTTTCTGATATTGCTACCATTGTTTATTTAAGAACATAAGAACGAAGGAACACTGTAGAAGGCCTACTGGCCCATGTGAGGCAGGTCCAAGTCTCCTACCGGCTTAAGCCAATGCACCAAACCTAGTCAGGTCAGGTCACATTGACTTAAGGGAGGAACACGGCAACTGACCTGGTAGCACAAGCTATTAGGTCCAACTCTCATCCACCCACACCCACTCATGTATTTATCCAACCCCCTTTTTAAAGCTACACAAGTTCTGGGGCCCCATAACTGT